ATCCATGTCCTATAGAGGGCGTGTTCTTGAGATAAATCAACTGATTGCCCCGAAACTCCATCACCGTCTTGCATGTTTCTCCCCACCCAAGCCAATCATCCTGCACCTACAGTCACTGTTTAACAATTTTGTCTGGCAGGGCCGACACTAGACGCCTGCAGAAACACTCTACCTACCGCTAGACAAAGGGGGCCAAGGACTAGTTCACCTGCTATCACGCATTGCGTCACTCCGTTTAGGCTTTATTCAACGATACCTGTACCTGGACTCTGATCATCCCATTTTTCACTTCACGGACTACTACTTCAGCCTGGTCCGAGACTTACACTACAAGAAAGAACTCTTGCTTACAACAGGAATAGACTACTGCAAAAATAAAATACCTGACTATTATTTTGAATTACTACAATGCTGGAACGCGTTAGAAAAAATACGTAAAGACAAACCCACTAACCTCGTAGCTGCCCTTAATGAACCGCTCTTCCAAAACCCCATGATCTTACACCCAATACGTGGCTGCCCTTTTACTCTAACACATCTAGCCGACGCCGGTATTACCAAAATCGGAGACCTAGGTGGCTAGGTACTGCGGACTTCGTAGAAAAAATAAGAATTAAATCCCTACGTATTCTCGACCTTAAGCTCAAAACCACCCACAATGCAATACCCATGGGCTTAAAAGCAATTATTAATAACCACTTTAGACGCGAACAACCAATCGACACACCAAGTGCATGGTATACATTCGAACTACACCATTCAACGGACTTAAACCTCCCCTTATACAAACTGGAAAAGGGAGCCATATATAGTTACATAACCCTTGTAAACTACGCAAATCGCCTACCCAAAAGATTAGACACCGTATGGAGAGACTTGCTCAGCTTGCCGGACTGTACAACACCCAATTTTAGAGCTACTACCCCCCAAATACTAAGCGAGAGGGCGACCTCCAGTGGCGGATTATCCGCAGTGCGTATACAACAGCTACTTTTCTCTACAACGCCGGCTTCCACCCCACGGACACTTGCCCCCTTT